CAGATGACAGCAATCAGGGCAGAACAGACACATAGGCAGGCACAACAAAACAGGCAGAGAGGCAAACTAAACCCCAAAGGATAAAGAATGTAAAAATACAAAAAATTAAGAAACAGACTCAGATCGTGACCCCAGATTATCAAAATACTTTATTTGGAGGTAAAATTAAAAATGAGCTCAACCAAATTGTTAGTAATAACCCCTCATTGCACAGAAAAGCTGTGTGCACACAGCTACAGTAAGTATGGTAGGTCAAAGTCTGGCTAATAATCTTGCAACTCTCCTTCATGTTTCTTCGTTTCCAAATAAGAGGAAGATTACTTCAATTACACTGTGCATGTGTATATAAAAATCAGGTGGTGGTTGCAAACAAACACAGTCATGAAATCATTAGTTCTCTCTCTCAAACACGTGCACAAAGAAAGACAAAGCGGGATAATTGTTCTTTGTGTGTTTCTTATCGTGTGTCGAGTGTGCGTCTTTGATTCTGAGTTTGTGTGAGATAACTTAAGTCTTTCATATATTTATTTTTACTTACCTGTGTTTACTTATTTGTCAAGAGAAAGAATAAGTTTAAGATATTTAAAACCGTCATGTACACACACAAACACACATTTGTGTGTAGATACATTATTCAGTTGTGATCAGGCTGGATTCAAACTGAGTGAAGCACAATAAGTATCTGTGTGTTTGCTCATGAAATATGGAAGAATCTTTGAATTAGACAGTCATAGCTGATAGATATTATGAGGTGTTCAGTATTGCAGAGAGCAGATTAATGAAGTGACTGCATGTGGTATTCATCACCTATATTCATCACCTTGTACCTTCTCATCACGAGCCAAATTAGCCTACCGTTGTGAGCTGTGAGCATTTCACAGGTGAATGGCCATGAATGTGGATGATGCAAGGTTTAGAAGGGCGATAAAGAAGATTAAAACTCCAATTGGGAGGCTGATTTAAAAATGGCAGTAAGAGGTAACAATTTGCATTTTGAAATACCCAGAATTCCCAGGTGAGATCACTGAACAAATCACATTGCAGAAGAGACCATACCAGACTAATCCCATTGGAGAAGAGTGTGCATTTATTCCTTTAGTGTTTCATATTGCTGCTACTGTAATTAAGGAGTAGAAGCAGTTGTATGTTGTAAAAGGAGAAGTTTAAGTTGCTATTGATCATGTTTTTCTAGCACCAAAATGTGCACGTTTTGTTATTATTAGAGTTTAATTACATATGCTTAATTTGTAGTATGGATTATTTATTTTCTTCTGTAAAGAATTATACACCAACCGAGAAGTGGAGGATTTGGTGGTGGTGACAGCATTTATTAAACATTACTACACTAGAAAACAATACAAGCCTCTCCACTGACCAGACATCTGCGGCTATACGACATACTGAACTTAAATTTAAAGGTTATATAGACAGATCCCAAAACTTTCTGTCAAGACACTGTGTTTTTCCCCAACTGTTTTCTTTTGAGGACATTTCATTTAAAAAATAAAAAAAAGTTTATTAATTTAAAAAAAATTACCAATCATTTCAGTTGCGCATATGGCATAGAAGCAGTGTGTAATTGATTCTGTGATCCAACCTTAATTAATTTTCTTTTTTTAATTAAGTATAGCATATTTGCAGCAACAGGCAATAAACAGAGCACAGTCCATGCCAGTTAATTAATTTACCAAATAACTTCATTAAAGAGCCTGCATGTCAGTTATAGGTCAAAAGTAAGTCTACATGTGTCGAGCTAATAGAAAACATCAGAAACCTTTAAAACTATATTAATATAAACATATACAAATAGAGCAAGTTTATTTAGCCAAATATTTTTTACATGAAGAAACAACCTGTCATTCATCAAAAACTATCTGTCCATCTACTGTTTGGCTTAAGTTAAAAAGACTCTTCTGTGACTTTCATGAAAGCCAAATTTGAAACGTTCTGTTCCAGGGTGAGGATATTAAATATCAAGGTCTCTGTGTAAGTATGGATTTATTGACAGGGGCAGAAATGAGCTGACTAGAGCAGGGCAGGCTGACACACACACACACACACACACACACACACAGACTGTGAATGTTGGTCCAATCTGGCATCTCTCTGTTTCTTAATGAAGTAGCAAGTCCCTCTTCTCTTCCTCGTAGGCCAGCCAATTAGGACACAAGCCGCTGGGTATAGACCAATCAAGTTGCTGGCTTTGGGCATTTAGTGCATGGCCTTGACGTTAATATACCTAATCAGTTAGTGTGGAGAAACTATGTGTGTGTGTGCAAAGTGCTCTGAAGCTGCTGTTGGGTAAAACTATGTTAACAAGTATTGATTCACAGCTACTAAATTGACAGAGGTTGGAGGAGCAGAGAAGGACTGAAATGCAAAGGTAAACAAGATGCAGAGAGGGTGACAAGAAAATAAAAATAAAAGAAGGGAGAAGCTGAAGAGAGGGGAGATTGTGAAGCGATGAAGACATAAATAAACCAGAAAGAAGTAGAGAGAGAAATGAAAAGAAGGAGTGAAATGGAAAATAATGTGAGGGAAAGATAGTTTGGCAACAAATAGACAGAGATCCCTCAATCTAATCACCAGTGAGCAGACTGGGAAGCCACTTTGCTTTTGAGATATTTAATCAACTCTTTATAAATGAGGATATTTGGCTTCAGTGCATGAGCAGTGCCCTCTCTTCTCCCCCGAGACTGATTATAATTTTCTTTTCAAGGCCTGTTATCTGCACACAGATGGATCCTTGTCCTTGCGCTGCAAAACATAACAAGCTCTGATGTGAAAAGTTTCCCCCGCATTCAGATTAATCCGATTTCTTGTCTAACTATTTCTACTGTTGCTTGAACATCAATGAAAAAAATTGAATAACAGGTTGATAGAACTGAGCACAGAACATCTGCTATATTTGTTATTTGTTGCATGCACATGTGTTTTTTCCTAAACCTCCAGTGAATGAATAAGAGATCAGGACTTTGCTAGGCCTCCCAAATCTAGAATGCTTCTGAGCATGGCAGGCTTTTTGAGCTAAATAAACTGCTACTTGTAACTATAATAATTTAATGATTTTCTAAGTAAAACTTAAGCCTTACCCTCCCAGAGTGTCTTACTCTTAATCCCTCCAGCATGTCCTGGCTCTGCCTCTGTGTCTTCCTAGATGGTTGTGCATGAAACACCTCCAGAGGCAGGCAAGCGAGGGACACACATCAAAACCAACTAAACTGACTCTTTTCAGTCCAAAGTAACATAGGCCATATTAGGATAATCTATATTGCTGAGCACCAATCATATAGAGTGGAGTCACCTACAAGGTGTAAGTTTATGGGCAGATAAAATGTGTGCTCGTCAACAGATACATTTGGAGTGGATTTAGGTGGATTTAGACAATTCTCTGTGGCCATTCTGCACAAATACTATTTTCTGCTGCAGGAAAACCAAATACCCCACAGGAATCATTAGCTATTTTTCATCTTTTAGGCAGTAGTCATGGCAGAGGTATGATAAACTGAATTGTAGTAATAAAATATTTCATTAGTTGTGCTTCATGTTAGTCCAGGCAGAGCACTGATATTTTGCATCTCTCTGTCATCTGATCAGCATAAGCCATCACAATTAAATAGTGAGTGATCAGGTCTTTACTGCAATGAAGGTAAAGCTCACATGCTTTGTAAGTGGCTACTCTAGCAATTCTTTCTTTACTTACTTGTGCACTACTCCACCTCCTCTTACTGCTCTATTTTTGTTAATAATGCTTTCAATAACATACCCTGCTTGTAGATTTTATGTGTTTTCAAATCACACTGATAAGGTGCACAAGGTACTGGAAATACAATAAAATCTGATCCAGGAAATTCAGGCGGAGTTACAAATGAATGCATGTAAAGGCTTATCAATCGCCAAAACAGTTCAGTTTGTAATATTGATAGACAGGATTTCACAACACTGGAAAGTTATCACAGCGACATCTGTTTAATCTTTTGTTGTGACGACCGCAAGGTAAACAGGAGAGATATGACGTTCAAAGTTAGAGTAATCCACGAGGAATGTGCACCTGCACTTGCTGGAGTGCTATGCATAATCCTGCTACACTGACCGACTGGGTCCATTCAAATGAATGAGACACATTTTTCACACAGTTAAGAAGGACTGGACGCAGCCTTACCCTTAAGATTTGAGTTATGCTTACTGCAAAATGACTTGCTCTCTGTCTTGATGCACAGTTCTTAACTGTGTGAACATTTGCTGCCATAAAATGATCAAATCTCTCTTGATGTAACTTTCTCACACCATAAATCCAGTTATATTTAAGGACAAAATAGTGTTTAGAGTTTTTAAATACTTCTGTAATTAAACTCTTCCATGGTCACATATTTATCACAGTGTGCTCAAAAGTCAGCCATATGTACACAGTCCCTTCAACCAAACTTAAAGATTAGTTAGAAAATAGGAAATCCTTTTTCCAAGTGTAGGATTTGTCATCGGCATTAGCGTCACAGCGAACATTCAGCCTGTGCGCCTACCTGATGTGTATTGCTTACCATGACTAAGAATGCCAGTGTGCTGAATGAAGATGACAGTTTTGCTGTCACACACTCGCTTTAAGTCCAAGTGAGAAGTAGTGCTGTTGTATGTGTGTGTGTGCCTGTCAGCCAATGGTATTTAATAAGAAATTGCATGATGCTATTGTGCACTGGTATTCCTGATAACAATGTTGAGTCAAAGTGTTTTTGTAATATCAAACCAGTCTGTGTTTAGTGCCGAGAAAATGGTGCCTGTCACAGTTGGTGCTGTGACTCTTGGGGGTTTTCCTTTTTTTCCCCTGTGGTGTTCTGTGGGTGTGTCTAACACTTGGCAGGAAGCTGATCACCTGGTAAAGTTGTACACCTGCTAGCGATCCTCATCAGCTGCCGGCCTTAAGATGTGGGGTTTCCTGAGACTCGTCGCCAGATTATTCCTAACCTACCCAGGACTAACGTTTGATGTTTCTTTTCTTTTTCAAGATACCCGCATCCAGTGTGTCTTTTGTGTCTTTTGGGATCGCTGACTGCCGCTGTCCAGGACTGCCTGCCCCTGCTCACTCCCAGCCTTTTTCACACAGTTCTACAAGTTACTCCGTTCCTTGTGAATAAACTCTTGACTTTAACTTGCCTTGGCTCAAGTGTTCTGTGTCTACAGCCCGGTCCACAGTCATACTAAACCTAACATGTGCCACCTTTTTGTACAGCTTACCCTTAATATAAAGGCACAAACTTTAAAACAAAATTAAATGTTTTATACCCTGAAAAGTACCAAGCCTTGTTTATTTATTCTGCATTATTTTATTCGCAACACTTGTGCAAATTGAATTGCATTACATTATGCAAGGATTGCTTTTATTGTATACCACCTGTGTGATATTTGTGTCCAAACATCCATCCAGAAAATGATGGATTACAGAGAAGAGTAATTTCAAGTGTAAATCTGTTGCACATGCATATGATAGTGGTTTAGAAAAATAGCTCAGATCATTAGTGTAACACTTGTTTGATCGCAGTTTCCAGAGTTAATGATAGGATTGAGCATGTCTCAATAATGGGTCTGTGGTTTTTGTGTGAGTGTACTTGTGTGTTTTTGTGAGGACCATGTTGAATTTAAAGACCCTGAGAGAGGACACTTTTTGAAAGTGAAGACATTTTGGCTGATAATTACTTCTTCAAAGGGATGTTTAAAAGTTAAGACCTGGATTTTAGGTTTATAATTTGGTTTAGCTTAAGGGTAAGGATTGGAGTGAGATAGCTAAAATATTATATTTTCTATGAGTACAATATTATAATAACCAATAGAAACTAAGTGAGATGCTGAGAACTGGGAACACAAGGAAATCACTAAAGACCAATGGGGCACGAGCAGACAGTCTTACTGGTTTTAAACAAACCTCCAGTTTGGCCAAATGTATTTTGAAGAGAAAACAAAGGCTTTGTCCAAATTGTCTGTTGGAAAGATCACAGTTTACAGACCAATCTCCTGGTTCAGCTATGACCCACCATACCTTAACCATATTTTGGGTACACTTTGTTAGGTTTCGACAGGTTGGGTCATGATTGGTTATTAGCTAAATATCTAAGATGTTCTATCAATATTAATACAATTATTGATATTAAAAAAGATTAATAATCATTAATAAATACCGGGCATCTAAAAGTTTTGTCCAACCTATAATGGCAATAGTGAGACTATGCTATTACATTAATAGGGAGGGATAGTGAAGGGTGTGTTTATTGTTTACAAATTGTCAACAATGAAGCATTGTTAATTAATAATAGGCCAGCAGTGAAAGACAAGTTTGTACACTGTCTATCTCAACCAACTGATATCACAATACCATACACAGTAACTAAAAGCAATAACTTGTTAAAAGAATAACAGGTTTTATTTACTTCAGAACGGATTAACAATCACAACTTCAGTAATCAAAGCACTACTATCTAATCTAAGTAAACAAACAAACAAACAGCAATCAGAAAATGCAAAGAGAATGTGTTGGGTGTGTGTGTTTGTATGTGAAGGGGTGTGTGTGTTTACACAAAAGGGAGCAGGTGAGAGAAGGAAGGCATGGGCACGACCACATGTGTAGGTGGCGCAACACTACCTCAAAATGGTGGATCAAGACCGCAAGATTTCAGGTGGGATTTGACCCTCTTTCTATTCTAAACTCCACAAATTGCGATGATCACAAGGGTCACAGGTCAAAGTATTCTACTTTGTGGTAACATTTTTGCATCCAGTAAAATGAGGTAGCCTACTTGCAACATATCACCTCCGCGTACATCATGTATCATAGCAACCAAAGCGCCTCAGCAGCGGGTATGGACACAGCCGAAGTGACTTTGTTGTTGATAGGGGGGTTGCCGAGGTTACCGTACCATGGGACATTGGTGCAGAAATGTTGCCGTGCCCCTAGATCTCAGCAATTACTTTGCTGAATACAGTGTTAATATACTTTATAAATGTGATTTCCTAAACTACAAAATAATATCTCATGTCTTTGTAAAAGAGGTGAGACAACGATGAGACTGACAAAAATGTTAAAGTGGTCATATTATGCTCATTTTCAGGTTCATAATTTTATTTAGGGGTTGTACCAGAATAGGTTTACATGGTTTAATTTTCAAAAGTCACAATATTTCTTTGTCATACTGTACATTGCTGCAGCACCTCTTTTCACCCTGTGTGTTGACCACATCATGTAGCATCTCACTTCAATTGGATCTTCGTTTGGAGTTGTGCATGTGCAGGACTACTAGCCAATCAGAAGCAGAGTAGGGGTGGGTCCTGACAAGCCAGTAACCAGGGTTTCGGTTCAGCTGTATGTTCCCAAACCAGCTTTACAACCTAGACTGGTGCAAGAAATTCAGAGTACTAAGTTATTAATTTGTAAGAAATGTATCTTTGACTGCCTGTAAGGTAGTTAACGTTGGGTCAGGAGGGTGAGGGGAGGCAGCACTGTGTGAGCTGCAGCTCAGTGTGTTTCTCCACCAGTGTTTTTGAGGGCGTGCCACACTAGCCGCAAGGACAGCATAATGACGCGTGTTACATAGTGAAGCAGATAGGTTACAGAAGTAAAGGGTGGACTACAATCAAGCTGTTTTCTGGCAGTTCAGGAGCAGTGTTTTCTGTGGGAGATGGTAACTCCCTTTGGGGTGGACTTTGGGCTTTTTCACTTTGCAAACCTATTACATACACAAAACAGATATATAACACAATAAAGGAAAGGGAACAAGCCAAAAAGCATAAACTGACTTCTTTAAAATGTTGTTTCTACTGAAGAAGGATGCAGAGCGACAGACCAAGGCAGCACTGTATGGATGAAGGCAGAGTGCAAAACGAGAGAGTAAATTAAAACCCAGTACTTTTTAACTGAGCTAGTTATCAAGAGAAGGTGCCAGTTATTGACTTATTCTGGGCAGCAGATGAGAAGCTCTTTATAGACCTGGCACACATACCAACCACAAAAACACACACACATACGAGATCACTCCAGTACGCTCATACACATACTCTCACAAATCCACATTGACATGTATAAAGGCCCACACAGATGTTTAGCCCCTCCGACACACATGTTCAACACGCTGACGTCCACAGATACACGTCCACATTCCTCCCTTGTAATTATGCGGCTGTTTTATCCATTTTCTTTGCCCTCTGCAATAGAGCAACTCTGCCAGCTCTGTCTTCACAGAGCTGTTTTATTAGCATACCACTATGATCACAGTGCTCAGTGCTTTATAGTGTGTATAAATGGCATTGCTGCATCATTGTACTGGCATATGCTTAGTTTCTTGCTGACAACACAGTTTTATTTTCTTATCAAATGTTACCGAGAGGGAGAATATCATGCTATTTTCCACTGGAAAGGAGAGGATAGGGGTGGAAAACAGAGAATAGGAGAGGTACCTAAGATGAGAATAGCCGGGAGAACAATAGAGGAATGAAAGTTGAAGGGGGGGATAATACAGGAAAAGAGGGGAGGAGAGGGTAGATTAGATATGACAGGGGAGCAGAGGAGTTGACACATGAGTAAAGGATGAGGTGAGAAGAAGGGAGGAATGTCATCTGGGTTAAGAATATAAGACAGAAGAAGTGAGGGGATATGAGAATAGATTACTGTCACATATCAAAACATTAACATTTGAAAAGCTTGAAAATATGTAAATTGAGGAAACTATGGTTTAAAACTGAAACATATGATTTCAACATTTGAAAATAATTGCTTCACTCACTTGCTGCAGCTGTTATTATTATTATTATTATTATCATTATTATTTTCAATTTCAAGGAACGGTTATACTTCTACTACGCATGCGTCACTACTACCACGCATTCGTAGTCAAAGTAAAACAGACCCTTACATCAGTGGAACCACACGATTGGATGAAATGTTCCCTGCTTTGGCTGTTAAAAGCAGACGATTGGCTTTCTAGTGGGATGGGCGGGAAACCCGCCATCTTTGCCGTTACAGGCTTTCCCCATTGAGTTATATTGAGGATGTGATTGAGTGGTATGTCTCCTCTATAAAACATCTCTGACATAGCACAAAGCCTTTGTGGCAACCCCATCACCTGGTGTATTTATTTTACTGACACCATACAAACTGGGAAAATAACTTAACAAGCTGAAAATGACAATGAAAACAGTAGAGCTCAGAAGTACACTATACATGGATGGAAGGATGCGTGACCAGGACCATTATTGGCACCTTGTGCGGACAAATTACACAAGATGCTGTCCTGCTATTCAGAGCAGAAAAAAAATGTACCGTATCAAAATAAAAGAATGACACTTAAATTGTTATTTATGTTGGAAAAGTATGTGATGCATTTACATATAATTTTTTTATTTCTGTATTAATTTAAAACACCAAATTATGGCCCAGGTCAATTTGACCTGGCAAATACCATCAATGATAAATCCAAACAAGGGTTAAATGCACATACAGACAGCTTGCACCTTTGAGCCTATGCAGACTTTTAAGATAAATATAATGACATTTCCAGTATCTAAAACTTTACTGCCTTTCCTCCTATCCAGGGAATGTGATTTATGCAGTGTGTGTGTGTGTGTGGTATGCAGGTGGCCCAGGACTGCACTTTGAGAATGAATACATGCCTCAGCTTCTTCTCCTTCTCTTCGGCTGCTCTCAGGACTCTATCATCATCATTCCTCCTCCTCCGCTCTATTCTCCTCAGTACATACTGTATGTAGTGTCACCACTTAATGCATTTCAAACGTAGTCTCCTCCCCTTGTCTCATCATATCTTTGTACTTTCATCAGTCTCCTTTTATATATCTCAGTGTTTCTTTCCCCAAATTTCTTGCTTTTAATATGATCATTTCCCTCCTTCTTATTCTGTCCTTAAATCAGTCAATATTGGAACTTGTTGCTTATCTCTTGTGTGAAAGTATGCTCTTGTGTGTTTGTGCATTATTAAGTTTGTGTGTTGGATCAGAGAGGAAAGTAGAAGACAATCCATAGAAAAGATAAGGAAGAACAGTGATATGGAAGAGAAGAAATGGAAAGAGGCATATGATGATCAGGATGATATGCATTGTGGGACAATCTGTTCCCTGTATGTGACCTATTCTGGCACCTGCGCGCGTAGC